AAAAAAAAAAAAAAAGAATTGGGTGGAAGGTCTGTTTCACTGCTACCTGCATAAGACATGATATGCTTATCTGTGATAGGGGCAGGAGTTATTCAAAGCCATACTACCTTCCCTCACTTTCCCCAGTAGTGAGCTAAGTGGGTAAAAACTGATGGTAGGAACAGGCTCCTGTCCTCCTTCCCCTCTAGTTTCTCTGGGCAGGGCTGAGCCCATCCTGTCATCTCCATCCATGAGTACCTGAGGCGGCTTCTTGAGGTCCGGAAGCCACAGACACCACAAAAGCTGGCTGGTACGCGGGTGCTGCCACCTGTGTCAGTACCCATGCCCAGGATGGACCCCTTCCCTGCCAATAGAGCTGCTTCACCCCCTGAGGATCCCCCAGGAGACTTCTTTAAGTTCAGGGGGTTCAGGGTCTGGCCAAAGATGGGGTTACTGCAGTCATAGCTAAGGGAAGATAAGAAAAGGGTGAAAGCCTGACTGGGGCAGCCTTCCCCCACACACACCTGGGGACCAACCACCCTCCAGAATCAACTCCAGGGCTCCTTTGGCTCCATGAGTGTCTCCCTAAGGCTGAGACCTCCGGGTCCCGCTTCAGCTTGGGGGAGGGGAAGGGGCTGCTGCTGCTGGAAAGACCAAGATTGGACACCAGCCACAACTTCTGAAATAAGGACCGAGAAGCCCACAGCTCTGCAGCCAGAGCAATACACTAAAGGGTGAGTAGGGGGAGAGAAAATACCGGATGAGAATACTTAAAGAAGCCAGGATAGAAATGGAGATGTAACTTTACAGAAACTGGAGCCCAGAGGACCCTTAGAGACCCTGGAATCAGTCCAGCCTCATTGTAGAATGAGGACACCCAGACCCAGAGGGCAGAACCAAGAACCCTGGCCCTTGAAATCTGCATGACAAGCCCCCACCTCAGTCTCTGCCTGAGATCAGGGCTTTAAAGAGCAGCTTCAGCCCTGGGCCCGGCCCAGTCCCAGATCCCTGCTGCTGCTTCACAGACCTGAACAGTGTCTGCGGGATGTTGGTCTTAACAAAGGGAATGGCTCCCTGGGCCTTGAACAACTGCACGATGACTCCGTCCTTGGCCGCTGGCTTCTCCAGGAACTGAGCCAGGCCACACGTGGAGTCATGGCCCTGCAGAACAGGAAAGTCACGTCCAGCCAGTGGGGGTCAGGCTGAATCACCTTCCTGGCAGACTCCAGTCCCAGTCTGGCTCCACTCACGTATGCTCTCACACCCTTGCAGACACATACACTGTACTACAAGGATGCTCTGGTGGCAGAAGAGCACTGGTGAAGTCTTAACCTCTGGATCAAACCCCAGTTTGCCACCTTCTAACGTGCATCTTTGATTAAGTAACTTGCCTAGTGTCACACACTTAGATGCTTAAAGTGCCGCATGCATGCACACACACATACACATGCACATGTGCACACCTCAAGGCTCACCTTGCAGTCATAGGTGTCCTTGAGGCTTATAGGGACCCCATAGAGAAGGCCTCGCTCACTCTTTTTAAGCTTCTTCAGTGCCTGCAGCTGCTCCTCACATTCCCCCAGGAAATCGGTCAGGCAATTCACCTCCTGGTGCACCTTCAGAGCCTGAGTCACATTGAAGAGAGCAGACCAGGGCCCCCAGGGAGGCCAGGGCCGAGACAGGGCACTCAGTCACCTGGCCTCTCCTGCTACCCTGAGGAGACTGAGATGTTCCCCCTCCCAGGTCAGTGGCAGAACCACAGAGTCACACCTGCCCCTCAACTCCTCTTAAGTAGAAAAATGGCAGATGACATCACTGATTCTGACCCAGAGCCCCAGGCTTGTATCCTGACTCCTGACCCATACCTGCTCTAAGTAGCTACAGAGGACGCTCTCCAGACTCAGCTCTTCAGCCTGTAGCTTCTGGGCCAGCTTTGCCAGGGGAAGCTCCAGGATTGACTCAGAGTCCACATCTGGCTCCTGTGGAGATGAGGGAGGGTGGGCAGATATCAAAGATAGATTATTTGGGACCACTCCCAGACAGTCCACACCACAAGCCTGTGTCCCATTACATGCTCAGCTGAGCACGTCTGTGGGACCACACATGCCCCTGTGCTCATTCTTAGAACTAAAAGCATCTCTTGATCTGTCTCCAGGTGGGTGTGAAAGCTCTTCAGGGGCACAGATGTTCGCTTCTGTCTCTGTCCCCCAGATCCTAGCCCAGGGCTTTGGCACAGAGAAGCATTTACTCCTCAGGTCATACTTCATAAGGGTCACAGTTGGAGTGGGAGTGACTCTACATGCAGTATCTTGGGACTGGGGGCCATGGAAGTAAAATTCAGCTGTGTGGCTTACTTCCAGGGGGCATCCCAGGCATCCCCCTTATTCCTCTCCGGTCCTCCCACCCTGCTGATCTCACCCTAGTGGAGGGCAAGAATCTAACCCACGGACAGGAGACCTGGCGCTGGCACCCATCCCTGACCACACCACTGGTCCACCAGGGCACCTGGGGCAGGTCCCTGCCCCTCCCAGGGCCTATGCCCCCTGAGGGAGGAAAGACTAGGAGGCAGGCCTGAGTCAGCCGTACTGACAAGCCCCTTAGCTGCCTGGAGCCCCATCCCCCAGGGTGTGAGGGGAAGCTGATACCAGCCCTCAGGACTGCTGTCCTGCCAAGCGTAACATGATGAGGGCCGCACACAGCAGGCTCTCAGGAAGGAAAAGCTCTCTTCCCTCCCCTCCTCAATCCTGTTTGAGACCCTTGACACCCCTAGCTGGAGTGAGGGCTGGGTGGGAAGATGGCATGGTGGGCTTTTCTTGGTCCTGGAGAGAAGGGTGAGGGAGACAAGGAAATTTTCCTGAGAAGCTAGGGGATCCCTGGCTCCATCTCTCTTCTTTCACTCCTTAAAACACCCAGTCTGACATCTGTCCTGCCCACTCCACTGAGCCCCTTCTCCCCAAGGGCATCAAGACTTCTTGACTATTAAATGTCGTGGGTTCCTGTCAGTCCTCACCTTACTCTCCTTCTCAGTCTGACTCTCTCCTTCCAGAGACCCTCTAACGCCCTGACTCTTCCTGGCTTCCTCTCACTCACAGGCTCCTCAGTTGATGTTGATGTTCTTCAGGCCTTGGCCTTTCCTCTCCTTGCCTTTCCATCCTCCCTGGGTGACCTTAGCAGCCAAATATACCCAAAGACATCTTATAAAACTCAATCTAACACTAGGTCCCAGTTGCTCTCAGGATAATACTGCAACACCATAGCACCACTGTGCTATGAGCACTGAGCCAGATGTGACCACCATCTTTTGAAGGAAGTCCCTGTATCTCAGAGCTCTCTTGATAAATTGAATCATTAGATGACTTGCAGTCTTATTAAGGGAAGTCTTTCTTTTAATGTCATTCCTTGGGTTGTGTTCTCTCTCAGCATTTGTTAAACCAATAGCAATTACAACAACAATTTTCTAGCTCTTATAATACCAGCTACGATTTTAAATAGTTATGCTCATAAATATTCCTGTTATCAATTATGTCATAAACATTGTGTTAGAATGTCATAATAATTTATGTTGACCATAATCAGAAGTTGTATGACCTGGTTGGTCACAGTAGCTCACACTTGTAATCCTAGCACTGTGGGAGGCTGAGGTGGGAGGATCCCTTGACCTAAGGAGTTCAAGACCACCCCAAGCAAGAGGGAGACCCCATCTCTACTAAAAATAGAAAAAATTAGCCAGCTACGTGGGAGGCTGAGGCAGAAGGATTGCTTAAACCCAGGAGTTTGAGGTTGCTGTCAGCTAGACTGATGCCATGGGACTCTAGCATGAGCAACAGTGTGAGACTGTGTCTCAAGGAAAAAAAAAAAAAGAAGTTATGTGACCTGGCAATTAAGAGTGTGTCCTGGCTTGGCACCTGTGGCTCAAGTGGCTAAGGCGCCAGCCACATACACCTAAGGTGGCAGGTTCGAATCCAGCCGGGCCCACCAAACAACAATGAAGGCTGCAACCGAAAAAAAATAGCCAGGCATTGTGGCGAGCGCCTGTGGTCCTAGCTACTTGGGAGGCGGAGGCAGGAGACTCGCTTGAGCCCAGGAGTTTGGAGGTTGCTGTGAGCTATGCCACAGCACTCTACCCAGGGGGACAGCTTGAGGCTCTGTCTCAAAAAAAAAAGAGTATAGCCCTTCAGGCGGCATCTGTGGCTCAAGGAGTAGGACACTGGCTCCGTATACTGGAGGTGGCAGGTTTAAACCTCGGCCCTGGCCAAAAAGAAAAAAAGAATGTGGCCTTTCTTGCTGGGCTGCCTATGTTTGAATCCTAACCCTGACACTTATATTTTAAATACCTCTTCTCTTCCTTCACTTCCTTATCTCTGTGATAGGATAATGATTGTAATTATAGTATTCTACTAAGTTAATACATGTTTACAGTGGTGCCTGGTGTCACGGTGGGCTCAAGCGATCCTCTTGCCTCAGCCTCCCAAGTAGCTGGGCTTACAGCTGCCGTTCACAATGCCTGGGTAGTTTTTCTATCTTTAGTTGAGACAGGGTCATGCTCTTGCTCAGGCTGGTCTTGAACTCCTGAGCTCCAGCAATCCACCCACCTTGGCCTTAGGATTACAGGTGTGAGCCACTGACCGAATATCATTTTCTATGTGTTCTACAGAACACTGCTTTCTCTCAGGCTTTTCCCTCTCTGGTACTGCCTTTCTTGTTCCCTGCTTCTTTTGGAAAACTCGTACACATCAGGCGAGGCGAGGCTCACACACCACCTCTCTGTGATTCCCACATGACCTACTCCAGACGAGTCACATCCTCTTGCTGTGTCCCACAGCCCCGTGGGACTTTACCGCACTCTCCGAACTGCCGCCCAGCATGGATTATACAGCTCTGCTTCTACCACGCCCCACCCAGGCTGGGCCCATCTTTACAGTAAGTCTAGATCAGATGTCTGATTCATCTTTACAATGGATTTCAGAATCCAGCACAAGGCAAAACCCAGAGAAATCTTGCTAATCTGAACTAAATCGGATTTGTTTGATTGAACTCTTTGAGGGTTTGATCTATGTCTCAGCCTTCTGCCTCCCATGCCATATAAATCTGGACACCTGGGGTCCTGAGGGTATCCCTGGGATAATGCTGGGAAGATGCCCAGGGCAGATCTGTGCATCTTTGTTGTGGAAAAGCATGCTGCTGAGCACCAAGAAGCTCTGAGAGGAGGTGGGAGACACCATGGGTGACCTCACATCCAACCCCTTCCACTCCTCCAGCCAATTAGACACACACACGCCCCTGCCAGGTGCCCAGCCCAACAGTCTGCATCCCCCAGATGGCCACATGTTCACCAACCAGATGCCTGGACACTGAGCCCCAGCTGACCCTGTACATCAGACAGGCAGCCACACATGAACATGCTGACCAAACATGCAGATGCACACCAGCCACACACATCTAGGTTTGCACACTCCAGCCAGGAGCACAACACACTCACAATCTGCCAGGCACATGTCCGCGCAGTCAGACCAGGCACACACCTCTTACCATAACACAGTAAGAGGCCAGCAGGAGGCACACGCAGGCAGGCCCTCGCTGGCAGCAAGGGAGCTCACCCCACCACCACACGCAGATGGGGCCTCTGCTCACATGCAGGGATCCTCTCCATCATGCTGGTTCGCCTCAGTAACCCCATTAGCCCAGACTTCCTCCTCATCAACCAGGGAGGGGCAGCTGCTCTCTGGGGGCAGATTGATTTATCCAGCTAATTAGCCCCAATTAATATTAATACACATTTTCAGCAACGGCAGCAGGTCGAGCAGAGAAGCCTCCCATTGGGGCCATCAATCACTGTCCAGGGGACGGCAGAGGACACTTAGGAACTCCAGAGCACGGGGACAGCACCCCAGGCGCTATCCTCAAACCCTACCGCTGGAGGTCCCAGACGGAGCCTAAGATACTGTGATCCCACCCCTCCTTGGACAGTTGAAGAGCCCAAAGCCCAGAGAGGGATGATCACATCCTCCAGGCCACACAGCAAATCCCAGGCTCAGTCTGCATTCATCTCCATGCCCCTCCCTCACGCCCTTCTCTCCACCACTCCTGGCAGGCTTTGCTAATACATCCATGGCCCAGCCACTCCACCTGCTAATCTCAGCCTGACCAGCTATGATGACTGCCTTGATGCCTTGAAATATCCCCACCTGAGGTGTCAAAGCCACCTTTAAGACATACAATTTCCTGGGAGGCCCTGTCTCTAGTGCCCAGTGCTCTGCACCTACCAGGTACTCAGAAAACATTTTCAGAACTGAATAGGTTAGTGGGGGCGGGGGGGAGGGGATGTGTAGAACTCCTGTCTCAGTGGGGTTTAGGGGTGCTCAGGGTCTGAAAGAGACCTTCCACCTCCAATTACCTCCATCGGTTTATTTTATTTCAACAAATAGCCCAAGTGAACACCCACTACGTTACTAAGCTATATACACTGGCAGCACAGAGAGAAAACACTGTCCCCCATCTCCAGCAACTCAGAGGACACAATGAAGGAGAACCACACAAAGAGCCAGCGTGGGGAGAGCTGGGGGTGGGGTCTGCCCACCAGCTCTCTGTCTCTGAAGGGATAGAGCCATGGGAGGGGCCCCATCCTGAGAGGGATCTGCCTATTCAGATGGAGAGCTAAGGGCCCCTGGGATCAATGTCTGCTCACCTGTTGCCGGAGCCGCTGGGCCAGGGCCTCCATTTGCTTCAGCGCCATCTCCCTCCTCTTCTGTGCCCTGGGAATCTTATTCCGTGCTGGAGGGCGCTGCCACGAAAGCAGGGAAGCTCCCAGCAGCACAGCTCCCAGCAGGGCCACCAGGAGCAGCATCACCAAGGAGTATGACAGCCAAGCCTTCCCAGGATTCACACGACCTCTGTGGAAGCACCCACTGCTTCTTTAAGAGCACCTCCTGCTTGTATTTCGGGGACACTGCTAGAGCATCCACCCACATCTAGGGCCCTGGGAGGCGGGGACCATGGCCCTGGGCGTAGCAGAGCACAACCTCCTCCCACCCAGCTCTCACCCTTACCTTTCTTCCTGGGACAAAGACTCTCAGGCCACACAGGGAAAGAGACTTTGACAGAGACAAGCCTGGAGAGGGGTTCAAGCCTGCAGCTGGTCAGGTGACGTGTCCTTCTTCCCACTTGCCTCTCCAGTTCCCCACCCATCACCCTGGTCTGACCCTCCAGAGTCATGGATGGGGTTGCTTCTGTGATTTCTGGTTGCTTTAAGGGTAACCCAATCCCCTTTTGTTTGGCATAAGCAGATACCTGGAGAGGGACTGAACAGGCTGCATTTGCCCAGAGTGGAGGTTCTAAGGAGGCATTTGGGACCCAGGCAGAACGGAGAGGGAGGGACACCCTCTCCTATACATCAGGAACAGCAGAGTTCAAAAGGCACCCGCCCCCAGGAGATGATACAGGGAAGTGAGGGCTACCGTAGGCAGTGCCCTGGCCTCACCCCAGCTGGGCTTCTCACCCTCAGCTCCCCAAGCAAGCTAGTATTCTGATCCTGGGGTTCAGGCCCTTCCAACTGTTGGTCCTCCTCTCTGGTGGAGAGAAGGAGACAAGGGGTGTGGAGTGGAGGCAACATCCCAGAGGAGGACCTGGGAGGACATGAGATAAGGGAAGAGGAGAGAAGGGGGAACTTGGCTTAAGAACCCTTCCATTCTTCTTCGATGCTGCCATCCAGCCTCTGTCCCAGGGAGAGAAAGGAGCCTTCCAGTCCCAGTGACCAGGAATAGTGACTCTGCTCCCAGGGCCACTCAGGAGCAGATGTGAAGTCAGCAGTTGACTTGTCATGACCTAGTGGGCAACACTGAGGTCATCCAGCCTGTAACACTCCAGTGCTGTCATCTCCAAGGGGCCTCAGGACCCGCCTCTGTCCTGCCTCTTTGCTGACCCATTTCCTTCGGCAGTCCCCCACCCCCATCCCCATGCCTTCAGCCCCCCTAGGCTTTGCTGCACCTCTAATACACCCTGTGCCACCCCAGGCCTCATGACCTCACCCTTCCCTGGGTTGCACCCTTTCATTACCACATACCCCATTTTATCTCCTCATCTCAAAAATTGCCTTGCTGAGTTGTTTACTTATTCCTGCTTCCCTTCCCAGAAGGTAGGTCCCATCACAGCACAGATCTTGTCAGTCCTTTTCAAAGTGCCTGGCACACAGCCCAGTGCTCACTGATATTTCCTTCTTTTTTTTGAGACAGAGTCTCAAGTTGTCACCATGGGTAGAGTGCCATGGCATTGTAGCTCACAGTAACCTCCAACTCCTGGGCTCAAACGATCCTTTTGCCTCAGTTTTTCTATTTTTAGTAGAGATGAGGTCTCGCTTTTGCTCTGGTTGGACTTGAACTTGTGAGCTCAAGCAGTCCACCCTGAGTTTAAGCAATCCACCTGCCTCAGCCTCCCAGAGTACTCGGATTATAGGCATGAGCCACTGTGCCCAGACACACTGATATTTCTTTAGTAGAGGAATAATAGTGGGATTGAGCCCTTTATTTCTACCTTGACTTGTCCCCTCTCTGTGTCTCTGCTGGCTCTTTCCTGGCACCATTTAACATGTAAAACAAAGATTCTCTCAGTTCTACAACCACCCTGGCTAATACACCCACACCTTTTCCCCCTCCCAGCTAAGCTCTCCCAGTTCTCTAAACCAGCCGCCTTTGCTTCCTCACCTTTCATTTGCTCCTTCACCCAATCCAGCCTGGCTCATGTTCAAACGACCCCAGCCCTCACCTCAAAGTTAAATCAGCAGCATTTAAAGTCAATAACCCTACCCTTCTTGTAAAAGACTAGTTCCTTGGTTTGTAAGACAAGATATTCCCCCCTTAAATGGTGCTTCCTCCAGGAAGCATTCACACACACACACACCAGGCTGGATCAGGTGACACGTGGTTTATTCTCATGGTACTCAGTGCTTCTGCTTTATTGTACTTCTAGCAAGTGTTTCTGGGTAATTACGTATTTGACGTCGGTTTGCTAGTTAGAACAAAACCACCTTTCAGACAGAAACTATTTCTTTTTGGTTACCTGAGCACATTGTGGGAGGAATTCAGTGTATTTGGTGGTGGATGGGTGGAGGGACATGTAGAGGTTACTGGGATAGGGGAAGTGGATGGATGAGGGTCCGCAGACTGAGAAAGTTATAGATTGAATATAGACTGGGAGTTATTTGTCCTCATGGGCACTACTCAAGATCATGACAGCAGAGCCGAGCACGGTAGCTCACGCCTGTAATCTCAGCACTCTGGGAAGCTGAGGAATGTGGATTGCCTGAGCTCACAGGTTTGAGAGCAGCCAGAGCAAGAGTGAGACCTCATCTCCAAAAATAGCCAGGTGCCTGTAGTCCCAACTACTCAGGAGGCTGAGGCAAGAGAATTGCCTAAGCCCAAGAGTTTGAGGTTGCTATAAACTGTAACACCAGGGCATTCTACTGAGGGCAACAAGTGAGACCCTGTCTCCCCCCCC